CGAATAGGTGCAAACTGGTAGGAACCCACCTCTGAGCCATTTTAATCATCTTAATTTCCCTTCTTTTGCACTTTTTCCCAAAGTCTCAACATCTTTTTTTCTTGTAATGTGGTGACCAAAACTGGATGCAGCATTCCAAGTGTGGCCTTGCTAAGGCTTTATAAAGCAGTGCTAATACTCCACGTGATTTTGATTCTATGCCTCTGTTTATACAACCAAGGATTGTATCAGGTTTTTTGTGTCTGCTGCCATAGCCAAATAAATAATGTCTGTCCTTAAGTTTGTTTTCTTTATTCTAACTATGGTAAAGATGCCCATAGTTTGAGATAAGTGTTTCCCAGATCTTGTGATAGGGAGAAGCCAGGAATTAAAGTTGAGATCCCCTGCTTGCAGAACAGGAACTTTACCACTGAGCCTAACTGCAGCCCGAAAAATCACTAGAAGATTTAGATAGTGCTTGGTGCTCTCTGAGGTTGGCTGCTTGCTTGCAAACATTTCATTACCAGTTTAGGTAACTTCATCAGTGCACTTCATATGCATACCTAGTCTGGAATTGAAATGCTTGCAGGCAAACAACCAAGCTCCAGAGTGGAAGGATTCCATAATTCAACCTTGAGCTACAAATATTTTCTTCCATGTATTTGGGCCTTCCATTCTGCTATGTTTGACTGACCAAAAGGCAATTTCTCTGTCTTCACTCATCTTGGACTTCAGACCATTTTTATATGTAAGGGACAACTCACCTGCCATGAAGAAGCCAAGAAGCCAAAGACTAATATATGCCAAGGATCTCATTTTTGCTCTTCTGCTAAGAGGAAATCAAGAGATAGTTTCCATTAAAAATATATTTATTTATTACACCAGAAGAGAGTGCTAGTGTTGTGTAGGGATGAAGTTTTGGGATTAGGATCATGGACCAGAAAATCTCTTTGCATGAATTTGGACCAGTCACACTTTTGTCTCCCAGCCTTGTGAGCATAAAATATAGATATTTATAGCTCCTAAAGAAAACAGACTATGCATCAAAGGAATCACAAAGTCATAATACATTTATAACCTTAGCTTTCTTTGGAAAGCTTAAGGCAGCAGCTTAACCAAAGGAGCCATGTTAAACATAAGCCTTTGTTTTGACTTACTGCAGTTTTTATAAAGCTTGAAGGAACCACATCCTTCAACCTACATTTTTCCTATAATCCCAATGCCCTTTCAGCTTTTGCAACTAAGCATTTACAAAGTGTTGAAAGAGAGATCAAACAGTGGATCCTTAACCACAGGTTTTTATAAAAAGCTGATATAGATAAAGTTCCACTTATGGAAATTCTGAGTCAGGAATTTACCATTATGTTCCCAGTAAAGAAGCCATAAAAGACATTCTGGGGGAGGGGGGGAGAGACAGACAGAGAGACAGATAGAGACAGACAGACAGACAGAGAAAAAGAGACGAGAGATGGTAGAGAGAGATAGGTAGCGAAAGAGAGAGAAAGAGAGACAGAAGAGACAGAGAGAGATGCAGAGAAATAAGGATAAAGATAGAGCGATATAGATGACAGAGAGACATACATACATATACATATACATATACATATACATATACATATACATACACATACACATACACATACACATACACATATACATATATACATAAACGTTGCCAATCTCAATCTTACATGGGAAAAGATCCAAATACAACAAGACCAGCATACCTACACCCATGAAAGGATATATATATATATATATATATATATATATCNGTAAGTTAACAGCTGCTGTGGTTCACTGAACAGCCAGGTTTAGTAAGTTAACAGCTGCTGTGGTTCACTGAACAGCCCTGGCAAGGAATGGTCGTAAAATGGAGCAAAACTCACTTGAAACAAATGTTTCGCTGAGCAACGGAAATGCCGGGCTCCATTGGGGTCGTAAGTCGAGGACTACGTGCGACACAGATCCTCAATGGAAGGCAGGGCTGTTTGCGAAAAGCGTGAAGCCGGAGCGTAAATTCAGTAGGGATAATTGTGCAAAAAAAAAAAAGTGTTTTTCATTTTTTTTAAAAAAATGTTTTATCTATCTTCAAAATGAAAGCTGTTCTCATCATCGCCGGCTAGGTTTTAAAAAAAACAAAAACAAATTGTACCTACAAACCATTTTATTGGAACATCAATATTTCATCCTCGCTAATAGCTCCAGTTGCCTGCCTGGGCTTCTCATTTCACAACCAGAAACAATGAGGTTGTGCAGAAGGGAAGCCCAGGGTGTTTTCTTTTTTGCGAAAATCTTGCACCTCCAGAGCTGGGAAGGTGGAACGTGGCAATTTTAGCTCTTTAGGGGGTGTCCGATTTCAAGGAAGCTCTCCCCTATGCTACTTCTGGTTGCAACAACACCTGTTCTAACTCGATAAAATCTATTCTCGAAGTTGCGTAACCGCCATCAAAGAGATAACTCAACCAGCAACAACTCGTTCCAACATTCAAAATGTGGGCCAAGCCCAAAATATTTCCGTCCGTTTCATCCATCCATCCATCCATCCATCCATCCATCCATCCATCCATCCATCCATCCAGGAATCAACTAACGTAGTCACTTCATTGGTCGACCCTGTTGATTCGGACAGATTCGGATAGTGAGGAGGTTGGGGAGGAACATGGGCCAGTCCTGGAGTCTGGGGAAAGCTCGGACGAGGGCTCAGCGTCGGAGGCAGAGAAGGAGATAGACAGCAGTGAGGCAGAGGAACAGCTGGAGCCTGTTCCCAGTGTGTGCATACGCAGGGCAGCAGAAGACAAGAACAACTCAGAAAGCAGGGTCGACTTGGGAGTAAAGCCACAGAGGAGACAAAAGAGGAGCAAACGGGGAGTGGAGTTTGCAGGAGACAATTTGTCTCTTCGGTCCTTTCAAGAGTGGAAAGTTCCATTTGTGACTATAAGAGACTCTGTGCGAAGTGTGGCCTTGCCCTGCGTTTGGAAGCTAGTTATCTGGCAGCTCTCCAAGCGAGATAAGGTTCGTGTGGATAGATTCCTCTGAAAGGCTGTTCGCCAAGCCTCGCTGACTGAAAGGAATTCACAGTCATGTAAATAAAAGGGGTTTTGCTTCTTGCTTTTTTAAGGAAGCCTGGGTTAGAACAGACTCAACCTTCTGGCTTCGTGAAGCAGTTCTGGCCACGTTCTCTCCATTTGTTAACTAAGGTCATTCGAGATACGGACGGCTAAACTCAAATGATCCTTATTTTGGCCAGGTTTGGCAAAGATTTAGTTCAGAAGTGCCTAACGCCGGGAAACATCTATGGAAGAAGAAGACGATGACCAGAGTTAAACGGACGGACTTGATAACAGAAGAAACAGAATTGGAAGGGACCTTCGAGTGTCCAACTGGCTGTTTAATTAAGCGGGAAACTCTATAGGCCCATGATGGCGAGCTGTTGTGGCCCAGCAGGAGCCGTTGGACCTGCGACCAGACTCCGACCGTGAGGGGCCCTATAAGTCGGCTCTGGAGGACCCTGGACAGGGTTCCGACACCACCAGGAGGCACCTGAGCCTTCGACCAGTGGGGAGGAGACAAGGGAGAGTGAGCTAGATGCCAGTAGCGAGTTGTTCCTGGATGCACGCCATCGAAGAACTACTAGGCGTCAGGAACAGTTGCGCAATTACAGGAGATAATTGCACTCAGCTGGTGGTCATTAGGCCTCTCTCCAGACTATAAAAGGACTGCTTGTGCACACGCCCCTTTTGCAGAAGTCAATGCATGAACTAATGTTGGAGAACAGTACTGTGAACCTGGCAGGCTGGATTGCTGCCGACGCTTATCTGTGTTGGATTGCTGCCAAGGACCTGTCTGTCTGTGAATAAATTCCGTAAAGTATCTTTGGCTTGGAGTGCTTTGGTGTGGGACGAGGGGGGGGGGGTCAGAACAGCGAGCCTATGGCACGCATGTCATATAGGTCATATCAAGAGATTCACTAAACAACTCTTCCACAAACTGAACTGCGATTGATTCGCTTGACAAATTGTGGCAAGGAAGGTCGTAAAAACTCACTTAGCAGATGCCTCGCTTTGCAACAGAAACGTGAGGTTCAGTCGTAGTCCTAAATCGAGGACTTAATGGAGTAATTTTTTTTTTAAAAGCGGAAGGAGAACACAAAAGGCCCTCAACAACGGATAAGGCAGGAGAAGAATTGGGTTTAGGAGTGGTGGGATCTCAAACCAGAGGACAGCATTCCCCTAAACAGGGCACAAGGCTTTTAAAATCACTTCTACCGAATTAAAATGCCTCTCCTTCCTTTCAGTTTTCCGGAACACCAAGAGCTGGGAAAGAGGCCAAATTTTGAGAAAATTCTCCTTTTTTTTTCTCTCCTCCTTTTAAAAAAATATATATATATATATATATTTATATATGGAAGCAGACATGGCATGCTATAAATTGGCAATTTTTATCTCTAAGGAAGTCGGCCGTTGGGAATCCAGACCTCCCTCAAGAAATTGTTTTGTGGAAACTTTGGGAAGGGCCTTTCCACGCTCCTTTGAAAGTCCCGTGAAAGGAAGAAGGCATACACACACACACACACAGACACACAAACCGAGCCAAAAAGCACAATCCACTCACATACCACAGACTCCTGCCAGCGCCAGCCTCTGGATACAGTGAGTCAGACCTCATCAAGACCGCTCCCTGTCCTGTTTGACATGGTGGAGCAGAAAGAAAAACTCCAGCAAACGTGGAGTTTTCCTTGAAGCAACAAAACGACAACAATTCCGTACTATTTTCATTTGCTCCACCAGCATTCGAGAAACCGGCGGGACCTTTTTAACCCAGCTTGCAAGCAGAGTTAGGAAACGAACAGAGGGATAGAATCAGGATCACGTGAAGTGTTAATGCCGCCTTTTATAATAATGCCTTGGGTTAAGACTCCTGCTTGGAATGCTGCATCCAGTTTTGCTCGCCAACGTTATTAAAACAAAGATGTGGAGATTCTGGAAAGAGCGCCGAGAAGATCAACCAAGAGGATTAGGGGGCTGGAGGCTAAAACACACGAAGAACGGTTGCAGGAACTGGGAATATGGCTAGTTTAATGGGGGGTGGCTCGATACTGTAGTAATCTTGCAATATTTGAGGGGCTGCCCCAAAGAAGAGGGAGTCAAACTGTTCTCTGCAGGACAAGAAGCAATGGGTGGAAACCAATCAAGGAGAGACGCAACCTGGAATTAAGAAATTTCCCGACAGAACAATTAACCAGTGGAACTACTTGCCACCAGAAGTTCTGGGTTGCTGCAACGCTGGAAGTTTTTAAGAAGAGATTGGGCAACCGCTTGCCTGAAATAAAATCTTTTGTTTGATAGGCGGCCTCCAAAATCCCTCCCAACTCTGTTATTCTGTTAATTTTTGTGCCGGTGGGCTTGTTATTCCTTGCAAAAAGTTTGGTTTAGTTTATTGTCATTGCACATCGCACAATGCAATTAAACGCCGTCTTCGGTGTACATTATAACTATAAAAATAAAAAAATCCAAAACAGACAGAATCATCCACACCATGCATTGAAAAAAAAGGACTGGCCCATCTCAGCATCCATGGGTGCAGCTATCTTCAACAGCAGTTGGGACATAGAATAAACAAACTGGGCTTTAGAGGTAGAGTGTCCCTATCCATGTAGGCTCCACGCCAAAAATTATAGGATCCAAGAAACAGCTTTCTAATGAGGCAAAGCATGGCTTTTTTTGGCCACTCCCTAGGGTGGACCTTAACATGGCTGTTTGTCTTGAGGA